TAGACTTGCTAGCTTGAGCGTGCACCATCCCGTTAGTCATACACAGTGGCTCAAACTTTTGAAAAGCCAGCTGGAGGAGTCTCTTGACAACGGAGTGACGCCTCTAGCTGATGGCGGCTCGCGAGGAGTCTTGTTTCGAGTCACATTGCTCACTTACGGTTATACCTTTGTCGGGAAAGGGACTGTACGGGCATTCATTAAGGATCTGGAGCACGAGGCCGCCGTTTACGAACGCCTCGAACCAGCCCAAGGAGTCAGCATACCTGTATTCTTGGGCACTGTGGACCTCCGAGCCATGAACAAAATCTACTATTATGACCACCGAGTTTATATAGTGCATTTGATGTTTCTCTCATGGGGCGGTTAAAAACTGGACGATGTTCGGATTGCCCATGGCTTGGGGAAAAGGCTTGCAGATCAGACATTGCAGTCATTGCGATCGATGCATTTACAAGGGGTTGTTCACAATGATATTCGAGGAGCCAACATGCTGTTTAACCCAGAAACGAACCGGATAATGGTTATTGACTTTGAAAGAGCAGAACTTGTGCAGCCTCCTCGGCGTGCGCTGGCCCAATTGGTACCCAACAAGCGGGCATGGAGTTATGAGGTACACGACAAAATGACGAGGAGGGATGAAAACTCTTGTAAATATCAGGGGAGAGTAGATGTCGGGAGTGATATTCTGATGGCTAGGTCGGCATTTTTGGAGCTCAATTGGCACATAAGCAAATGATGCAAAGTCCGTGTTCTATTAGGATAATGGTACAAGAGAACTTACTTGACAAACCATTTGCAAACAGAACAAGACATTCCAGACAGCCCAAGCACTTGCCATAATGTCACCAGCTAGACTATTTGACATGGCGTCTGGCTTGCTCCGTTGACCCTACGATACGACTATAGAGTAATATTGACACAGAATTCAATCTGAATGCCCTACTAAGCCTGTCCATGGAAACTGTAGTAAATAGAGTTGGATTTCTAACTCTAGATTATGTTGTCGGATAATGCCTCTGTAGACTGAAGTTGCAGAGCTTGGAGTAATTGCTGGATGTCATAGCGTCGGCTATCATGACTAAACTTAGCCGAAAGTTAAATTCGGACGAAAGGAAGTTTTTTTGGTATTAAAAAGAGAGCTGCAGACGGAGTCTGCAGCACTCGCAACAACAAGAATAATGATTTTATCGAGAAGCTTAGTTAACATGAGTCTCATAACGTGACAAATTTAGTTAGTTCCCACCCTCGCTTCGAAATTAGGGTCCTCCGGATCGAACTCACGGTCTCTGTTGGGTCAAGGCGTTGAATACATATTCATTTGTTAGCACAAATAGATAGTATATTCATTCTTGTTCTTGTTCTTGTTAAGCTATGTGAGTGCCTCCATCGTTGCTGCCTTGGTGGCAGGCAGCAACGATGTGGGGCACTGCTGCCTGCTTCACGTGGTAGTGTTAGAAATACGGCGGCACAAAATCACGGAGAGAGTTTTATCTTCAAAATGTAATTAAGTTGATTATCCTTCTTCTTCTCTTTCGAAGAGTACAGTAGAATGATGCAATCATAAATACTTCTGTTATACTGCTGCCTTCCAGGCAGCAGCATTCTGATTGAATCTTGCGAAAGGTGGCGGCTGCACACAGTGCGGTTCATCACTGGCAGCGCAACAATCTGACACACCCCCTCAGGCCTGGCCACCAGGCCAGGACTGTGAAAGGGTTTCACAGTTCCAGCAGTTCGAATTTGTCCAGCAAAAACTCAGTGTCCAGTTCTTCGATTTCCCGCTGCTTTAGTCGGGTTTCAATATCCACCAGACCAAGGCGCTCGACGAAGGCCTTGAATGGTTGACTGCTGAGTGCCTTGGTAAGACCATCTGCTACCATCTCCCCAGTTGGTACGTAATTTACCGAGATCGTCCCGTTTTCAGCTTCCTGACGTAACCAGTGGTCGTGGATGTTCACATGGCGAAGTTTGGTCTGCAGTGGTCCGACTTCCTTGTTGACCAGTTTGATCGTTTGCTGGTTGTCACACTGGATCTGTATTGTCCAATTATCTAAGCGGATACCGATCTCTTGGAGAAGGCGAGAGATGAACATTGACTCTTTCGTTGCTTGTGACAGCGCGAGAAGCTCGGCTTCAGTCGTCGACGTAGTGACAGTATCCTGTTTATTTGCTCGCCATCCAATTGTACCGCCAAAGAGCTGCATGACATATCCTTGCGAGCTTTTGCGGTCGATGGAGTTATCCGCGAAGGAGGCGTCGCTTGCGACTAAAAAATCGTCTCCTCCCCCCAGTTGTAGGGCCAGAGATCTGGTTCTTTTGAGGTAATGAATAACCTTGTCCGCAGCTGCATGATGTTCGTCGGAAGGATTCATATTAAATCTTGCTAGTCTTGACACGGCGAAAGCGATGTCCGGCCGTGTAACTACCGCCGCGTACAGGATCGATCCGATCTTCTTCTGGTATCTGCGGATTGATGCGATTGATGCTCTGTCCTTGTATGGCAGTAGCTCTGGCCCAGACATAGGCACGTTTGGCCACCGATCTGGCTTTTGTATTGCCAGATTAGCAATCTTGTCTATATACGCAGACTGAGAGAGCCAGATCAATCTTCGATCCTTATCGCGGATTATCTCCATTCCTAGGAACCATTGCAG